CCGACCTGGCATTGAGCAGCAGCACCGTCAGGCCCGAGGGGCAGTTGACAAGACTACCTGGCACCCTCTGGCTGGGGGCAAAACCAGAAGGAGGGATAGGTGTCAACCATCTGTCCCTCCTTCTTCTACGTGGACACGTTAAGCCCCCACCGCTGTTACGTCCATTGCCCAAGACCACCCCTATGGCGGCACCCCTGCGCTCCCCAGGAAACATAAACATCAACATGGCCAGGGACGACTCCATAAAAACAGATTAAAATAGAATAAAATTATAAAAACAATTAAAAACTCCCCCTTCCCTAACGTTCACAACAGCAGGTGGGCCAATTACAGCAAAAGCCCCTGGCCAGCCCAGCCCCCCGCTCGGCCCCCGAACGGCTCCCAAACAGCTGTAACCGCCCTTCGGCCGCCACCCTTCGGCCGCCACCCTTCGGCCGCCGCCGCCGCCGCCGCCGCCAGCGCTTTAAGGCCGCAGGGCCCTCCCGAAGTCCCGCCCTGTCTCGCACAGCTCTCACCCGTGCGAGGGGGCGGGCCGGAACTGGTCCTGCGTCCTGGCTGGTGCTCCTGGGCCGGCGGTGCTGGGCTCCGTAGGACGGCGCGGCAGCCGGCGGGCACGTGCAGCCGGTGGGCGCGTGAAGGTCCTGCAGCGCAGGGGAGGTGTGCCCCGTCCGGCGCACTGGTTCTCCCGGCCGCCGCCGGCGCTTTAAGGCCACAGGGCCCTCCCAAAGTCCCGCCCTGTCCCACATGGACTGTTAAATATTTGAAATTTAACAGGAGCTGAAAAGAATCGACTGAATTGGGTTATGTTTATGCCTTTCAAATGCAAATTATTTTCCCATATAATGATGACATATGTTCAAATATCACATATGCAAGGAAAAGTGATATGAAATGTGAAATGTGTATTCTGTGAATACTGCTGTTTTTAGACAGAATTTATTCAGTAAAATATATTTTCTTATATACATGATTATTTTGCAGCTTCATCCATTAAAAGAATTGGCAAACCTTAAGAAGTCATAGTCTCAACTCATGGTTGAATTATAGGTTGTAGGACATGGAATAATCAGTTTAAGTTGTGACAGACCAGATTCAGATGAGATACCAGAAAAAGTCAGAGCAATTCAACAGTGGAACCACTTGCCTAGGGAAGCCATGGGCTCTCCCATACTAAAGACATTCATTCAGAAACTGGACAGTCATCTGAGTAGAATGGTATATATTGGTGACCTGCAACAGGGCCTTCTTGGCCTCTTCCAATTTAAGTATTCTTTGATTCTATATATTTCATATTCTACTGCATAGCCAATTTTATTTAATGGATCTGATCCCAAAATATATTCAGCAGGCTTATTAATGTCAATGGAATGTACATATGGTTGAGGTTTATCTGCTAATTCTTTATGTAAAAGATCTTATAAAAATTGGCAAGAACAGGATATCCTAAATATATGAGACAAGGAGATATCTATCTATGATATATGACTGCTTGAGCTCAAGTATATTGGCATAGTTGAGTGGGGTATACTAAGAATATTAAGCCCAATTTGATAAATATAGTAGATCTCTAATTAAATGGCTAAGTAATTCAAGATTCAATACCTTCCAGAAACATGCCATTTTACTGAGAATAATTTATAAATATACAAGTGAAGGAAACAGGTAAGATAGAATAGCTTAACTACTTTATTCTACCAGCTGCAACCAGCAACAACAACACACACACATTTATACATGCACAGTATAGTTTTAGTCATACCTTAGAAGTCTCATCCCCATCATCTTCATGAACTGAACTAGATGGTGAAGGAGTTGCAGACTTGCTTCCAGGAGGAGATGGAGAATTATGGGGTACATTGTTTCCACCCATATTCAAACCAAGCTGAGCACTTAGTTGTGATTGGTTAATGGTAGTCAGCTGGCCATGCTGCATCATTCCTGGCTGCCTCATATCTCCAGGCTGAAGCCTTGGTCTCATGGCTGCTATCTGGGGATGGGAACTGTATTGAGCTCCTTCTGTATTCCTTAAATCTTGCATCTAAAAGAAGGAAAATTACAAAGATACCTTATTTCATTATTATGCCACCATTGTGAGGACAATTTATCTTGAAAGATACTTTAAAGCTCCATTAAATAAATAAACTTGCATCATTTGGGACTTTTGCTTAACTTTAAAGAAACGTTGAAGCATATAAGAACAACTCTGACTAAATAACACTGTGTCCAATAGCTCAGAGCTTAACAAAATTCTCATGACTTCAGTGAGGATCCCCTTCGTGTATCATGCCTTTACCAGAAGGAGAAATATTATGAGCTGTGAATGTATAATTATATCTAAAATGTAAAGTTCTCCAAAATCAATGTAGTTTCAAATACAGCCTGTGGAATTCTTCATTAGATGGAACTATAGATCTAATATATCTAGAGTTGCCTAAGGAGGTACTCTAATCTTCCACATGGAGAAAGCAGTGAGGTGATTACACGACTACACAGCTCATTTACTGGAATCACCATAAAAGAATTCAAAGGGCTCTCAAGTTGTGCACTGAACAAATTACTCCTTTGTGCTACTCTTACTTTTGGCTTAATGGGTACTTATTTTATTTTTTAATTCAACCAATGAATCTAAACTTGGTTAAACTCAGAGGTGAGAATACACTGAAAATCTTTACTTCACCAAAACAAAACAAACAAAACAAAAAACAAATATGCAATGCATAGATCTTCCATTAAGTCATCCTAAAGTTTTCAGAGCTATAATGTGCAGTATAAATACAAAGAGGTGGCTCAAATACTGACATTTGTTGTATTTTTTTTCAGTAGTATTATGATCATGACTAGTATAACCCATGCAACTAGTGGACCATAACACAAATTACTGAAGTACCAACATATCACCAATCTGAAGCTAAAATGATGTCATGGTGAATGTGAAGAAATACTACATTCATCTGTTTGTTATGCTCTGTAGTATTGATATACTTCCAGTGAACTCTCTGATGCTGTAAACTGAACAGACAAGAAACATAGCCTTGCTACTGGGTACTGCCTTGGCTATGGTCATTAGGAAGAGAAACTTCAAGACAACTTTGGAAATGCCTACGTGGAGAAGTTAATCTTTATTTGGATACATCAGGAAGGTCGACAAAGGTGGCTGGCACTTGTGAGTTCCATAAGAAACATGGAACATAAGAGGTATGAATAAGGTCAGACTTTTTTTAGACATTTTTGAGATGTCACCATTGGTGGTGAATTGAACAGAGTGCAAAGTTAGGAAGAAAGAAAAAGTAATATGAGGGAAGTCTTTTAGAGGGAGACCTAAAGCTGGTGGCTGTGGAGAATGGGAAGCAGGAGAATGTCTGGATGTTTTGTCCTGCCACGACTCAAATCTGCCACACTGCTGCCTTTTAACTATGCCCAGAAACTTCCACTTAAGCTCATGGCAGATGATTTATACATGTATGAAATGAGTACAAACCTGGTTAAATGAAGTCAGTTCAAAAATGTCCACCAAAATCTATAAATTTCAACCAAGCAACACAGCCCAGCACTGGGTGGATTCAGGAAAGCAAGCCTGATAATAGAGTGTTTTAGCAAGTAGTTCCTGAATCTACTAAATCATTCCAAATTCCAGGGGAAGATCTGAATTCAGATTGGATGAACTCAGAGAAAAGCTACTGATAATTTATTAGAAGGGAAAATTCATTTATTAAGAATGGTAATCAACTGTATTTAGCTTAAATACAGTTGAATGATCTCAACTTAGGAAGCATCTTGTGGCATCTTAAAGATTACCAGATTTTTATTGCTCTGAAAAATTATCTTAGCCTCAGTAATCGTTCATTTAATAGCACAGTGGTCCCAATCCAAGTCAAGGGAATGTGCAGATATGGCAGAGTAAAGAAAAAGCTAATCCTCAGTTACATGCTGCAGATCGTTTCACTTTGAGACAGCTTTCTGGCAGAGTGTTCCATAGATCCATATCAAAGAGTTAACAAAAAGCAGTAGTGGAAATCGTGGACATTTTTATAACCATGCTTATTTAACACACGCTTGATTCTTACCTTTTCATTCATAGTGTTTCTACAAACTTGTTAAAAAGATTAATGAGCTTTTTCTTAAAGGAACTTTTCTTTGTACCTATCCATCATAAAGATGTTGAAAGCCAGAAAAAATTGTGTGGGTGGCAAAAGTATTTTTCCAATTTTTCTGAGGCCTGAAATGAAGCAGAGGCGGGGAACTGAACCTGGCTGGGGCAGGTGGTTGAAATAAAACATCTTATGAAATATCTAATCTTTTGGAATGCATTAAATGTTTGAAGGCCACATTTTAAAAGAAAATTGCTACATAACTAATTCTTAGGATGGGAAACCTCTTACACTCAAGATTCAAAGATAGCTGTATAAGTGCTGACAGTATCACTGCTGTGTTTGATGAAATTACAGACAAGGAGTGAAAACTTGATGCTTTAAATGTACTTTCAAATGATTCCAGAACAACTTCAGATGTTGATGAAGGAATGCAATTTGTGAGTATGGCCAAAATATGGAACAATATATTTTATGTTCAAAATGAAATAAAGTTAATTTAATAAGGGACAAGTATTACACGTTTGTACATTTAATCAACTATAATTTCCAGAAATTGTACATCTCTAGTTAAGAACACAGAAGCCCAGTAATGGTAAACCATAAATTTTATGAGAATGAGCAACGGTACGGTTCAGGTTCATTCATTTCCCCTCTTTTCTCCTTGGCATGTTCCAGAGGGAGGAAAATGAAAACATCTGCATTTGATTAAAATTTACCACAGTTCCCCATGATGTCTGAATTTGGGTAACTGTGGTTTGTATAAACCATGATCTGAAAACAAGAAACCACAGCTTGACCCTAACTTATCCTTCATTAACTTCAAGACTGGAGGAGCATAATCCTTCGTTTTGTTTAATGGCAGGTTTTACTTTGATAACAATATTTCAACATGCCATAGTTTCCGGGGTTTGAACATCATGGAGAACTGTGCATAGTTCAAAATAAAAGCTGCTTTTGATATTGTCCTTTTGATGTGTGCACATAATATGCCCACATGAAGAGGGAGGAGGTGAGTGTATTAAAACTGAAACTTGCTTCAGCCTGGTCCCATAACAGGAAAACAGTATGTCTAAACAGGAACAGAAAAAAACATGCCTGCATTTCTTACAGACATCATCGTAACATTACTTATTATAGGTAGGCTAAAATAAGCCATCATTTAAAAAGTATTTTCCTGCCAGAAGCTAGGATTTATCAACAGATTATCAAAAGCCAAGAGGACTGGATTTCATTTTTATCTATATTGTTATTTACATGGACTGAGCCACATTCATGCCAAGACCTGTATCTAGAAGATTGGGACATGCACTGCTGTATATTCTAGTTGACTTCAAACTACAGCATTTTGAAGTGGAACTGTGCACTATGAATTATCACGTGTAACAGCCTTTCTTTAAGTTTGTAGAACAGTTATGACATACGTTGAATCAATACATAGGCCACGGTAGAAAGAAATCAATGTACACTGTCGACTGATGGCTTACATTTGAAACTTGAAAAACATTTCAGGATTGTTACTGGTTCTTTAATGTCTCCTTTCAAACACCAGCTCATCCTAATCAAACATATTAGCCTTGAAAGCTATCATTATCTCTGCCTCTAGCAGACCATCTATATGTGAACAGTTGTAGACATAAAACTCTAACTACTTCTTGGCTGTATCGCTCTTGATCCAGCTGTTTCACTGAATAGCAGTTGGTGAAAAAAAGAACTCAAATATGGGTAGCCCTGAGGCCTTATTTGCTAATGTTAGTCACCAGCTGCTGCTTTCTGTGGTGTTAGCAGGAAAGGCCTGGAAATGTGCCAGATGCTGCAAGAACAAGGAGACGTGAGGCATCTCTGAAGCCTTTCCACTTAGCCCTGCCTGTTATCATTTGACCCTGAACACTGGAGTCTTCTCCTCAAGGCTACTGAAATGCATTGCTGGAGTTAAAAGTGTGACTAGAGCTTATATGGTACAATTACTCCACACACTGTTTTTCCCAGTACCTATCTACAGGACCTTTGTGATACATGCCAATAATACATATAACATTACAATTTAATAATGAGGTTTCAAAGGCAAGCTAAACTTGAAATTTCTAACATAGTTAACTGGTAGCAATTTATAAACTAACATCACCACCTTCTATTTCCTGTAGTTGCAGAACAATACAGTACCTGAGAAATTCTCATAGTATTCCAGGGCAAAAAAGCTGAATTCCAAAACACTGCTTTAATAACAAGGTGTGGCTGGAATGGGTACAAATGAAGCACTGAAGCGTATTTCATTTGGAGAGGGAACAAGGTATTCACCTTTGTGAGGAATGCAGAGGAACAAAGTGTGCAACAGCATGTGTGTACCTCAGGATGAGTGTACACCATACAGGAATCCATATTTATTCCCATAACTCTCCTCTCACATGTCACACAGGTGTTGGTGATAACTGGTGGTTTGTTGGTCTGCTTATCCCGCCACTGCTGAGATGCAAACCAAGTAGAAAGAAAATGCACACCAGTATCAACTCTCTATGACAGCATTTTCTTTTGAGCTGTGGTCATGGTATTGATGTACATTCTCACATAAAGTTGCCTTAACATAAGAAGCATCACTTACCTTTCTGGTACTGAATCAGACCATTGGTTCATCTAGCTACCTGACAATGCTAGATATGTGGTCTAGCAATGAAATTCATTTTTGGTGTTAAATGAATGTGGTTGGTTAAACTGACTGAATAAGGAAGAAGCTGTTACTTAATATGAAGCTTACTTGAGGAACACTTTCAGGCTTATGCATAATTATGCATAGCACTAGAATGACAGTGTAAACCAAAGTTACTCTTCTGATTTGAATTATTTTGGGGCACATTCCTTTGCATTCCTCAGCTAGCCATGATGACTTAATTCTGTCTAATCATGCATAGGATTATGTCTTTCATCATGCTACATTTCTACATATGAGTGGCTT